AATATTCCATGTAAATACTAAATGGACATGGATGCTGATACACTAAAATACACTAAAACAGGAACAGCTAGTATGACGCAAAACACCATAACTAATGTGAATGTCACTGCACAGCACCATTAGAGACAAGCTCAACATTAAATCAACAGTGACTGTTCTATGGATTTTGAGATATTTTAACTGGACTGTTAGACAACAATAATTTATATATAGACTGCCATTCAAATGTTTGGGGTCAGTAAGTTTTGAGTCTTGTGCTCACAGAAGCTGTATTTATTTGATCAAAAATACATAAAAAACTGAATTATTGTGAAATATTATTACAATTTAAAATAACTGTTTGCTATTTGAATATATTTTAAAATTTAATTTATTTATGTTATGGCAGTGTCACCTGATCCTTCAGAAATCATTCTAATATGGTGATTTGCTGCTCAAGAAACATTTCTTATTATTATTATCAATGTTAAAAACAGTTGAGCTGCTTAGTATTTTTGTGTAAAAGTGATACAGGATTATTTACAGGATTTCTAAGGATTCTTTGATGAATAGAAAGTTCAAAGAAAGAGCAATGATCAATTTACTGCACTATTTCTGAATATAAGCATTGGATTTTTTCCAAGCAGCCTTGGGTATCAAGTAACAATTACTGACCCTGGTGCCCCCTCAAAAAAAAAATAAAATAAAATAAATAAATACCCTGAAAACATGATTGCATTATTAAACTATGGCCAGTAGCAAAAATAGTGCACACATGCATTTTTTACAGTGTCTAAATCTGCATGCACCATGAAATAAATCTTCATAGTGAAAAAGAAGTGAACTAGACATAGAAGACAACAGTCTCAAGAGATCTTCAGCTGTCCTGTGTGTGCAACCGCATTTCAAACACACAAAACCATTTTTTTTTTACCCAGTGAAGGCCTAGAATAACCTCTTTTTAAAGCGTGTATCTGTGCAGTATGCCCTCTCTAGGATGCTGTCAGGCTTTCTGAATTAAGCACAACAAAGTGGAGCAGGAAGCAGCCAGAGAGTCGGATTCGGCTTTGAGAAACAGGCCAGGGATTTCAAACGCCTGCACGCGCGCACACTACCTAAAAATTGATATGCTCTATGATTCACATCTCGTGAGCCGGTGTTGTTGTTCAGAGCTGCACATCTCAGCCAGACCTGATTTCCTGTAGTCGGTGAAAGCGTGCCGCTGTATTGAGTGTGACACTGAACAGGAGGCTCTCTAAAGCACCAAATAAAACAGCACACCGGACCTCAACAATGAACATCCATTTCTCACATGTTCGGTTGGAATTCTCAGTGTCGACTTTGATTCTCATTTTTTTCCAAAACAGAAGAAAATCTGTCTGGTCTGTTTTGTCTCTAGCATTTGTTAGATATCAGGTGTATAGCTGTTTTATAAATTATATCACATTGCATAAAAAAGTATAGATGCAAACAAGATATGAATGAAATGTAAAAAATGTGTATATATGTGCTCACACACACACACACACACACACACACACATATGTATATATATATATATATATATATATACACACACACACACACAGAAGAAAATATCAGAACAGTATCATCGCAAGATCTCAAATAATGCTCTGATGCAGTATTATAATTTTTAATTAAAAATGACACTAAAATGACACTAAAATTCAATCAATTTCGTTGATTGAAATAAAATAAAATTAAAAAAATATTATATGAAAAACTTCAGCTTAAAAACAAATGGGATTTGAAATGTTGCTTTGGCAACTAACTGAAAATAAGTTGAAGTTGAAATAATAATAAAATAAATAAAATTGTGCTAAAAAGAAATTCTAAAAAACTAAAACTAATAAAAATGACAAAAGTGCATTACAAAATTACTAAAATTAAAATGAAAAGAATTAAATAAAAAATAAAAGCTAAGCTAATATTAATAAAAAAAAACATCTGTCAACCATTGCCACTGAACAAGAAATAAATTACATTTAATAAAAAAGAAGAACATATCAGAACAATGTAATAACATAGCATCTCACATGCTGCTCTGACGCAGCATTATTATTGTTAACTAAGCATTAAAATAGTTTTCATTAATTGAAATAAAAGTGAAATAAAATACAATATTAGATGAAAAACTTTATTGCAAATTTTGCCTTTGCAACAAACTAAAATAAAAGTACTAAAATGACTAACACTAAGATTTAAATGAAAACTGAAAATATAAAAATAAAAGCCAATTCCTATTAATAACACTTATAAATACTACATAGGGAAACAAACAATAAATTAATTACATTGAAAAAAAAAACTAAAGTGACTTTACCCAGTGGATTCAATATTCATTTCCATTTTTATTTTGTACCAATTTCCCTGAAAGTGACAATTTTGTTCTCTTGAACACAGTAAATGGAAGTGCTGATTTAGGCACAAATGGTTTTTCCAATATTCTGATTTTCCGTATGAATTAAATTGACTATTTGGATACTATATACCAGGGGTCAATAACCGTTTGGGCATGAAGCGTTGTTATTAATTTTTCTGGTTAACCACTGTGCCAGTAAGAACAGCTCTAATGGTAATGAACACAATAATGACTTTTACTCATTTTAGAGATTTTGAAAAAAGCATTTTAGCATTGAAAAATATAGCACACATCAGCTTTAGAACAAAAAAAGAAAAACTAGGATTGCCAAATTTCCTCCAGATAAAAAAAAGACCAACTGTGGTCTGTGTGTTCTTCCTCATTTTTTGCAAGCAGAGACTGTGTTAATGGAAGGATGCTCAAAGACATCACAGACAAGCAGAAGACACAACACACCCCATGAGACATGACAAAGTGCTACGGCCCCTGGCAACCAGCCCAACTTATTACAAACACACTGCCGACCACCTGCCACGTGCAGGCTGAGCACGAGCTGTCTGATGGGCTGTGTTCATTTCTTCATGGCATGTGATCTACCTGCACGCCACCATTCAGACTTCAGACAGCCAGCGCTGGCCAATGAGCTGATTAGAGGCTGAGCGTGGGCTACAGACGGCATAGAAATCCACTGACCTCTGGATAAACAGAGCCACATTTTTAAAAGAGTGTTTTTACCAGCCGCTCATTGATTGCGACAGATGAGGTATACGTGCCCACACTGGAAAACACGCTCACGCTCCTCAATTACAGCAAACCATGGAAACTCTAGACAGACAGAATATGGGAGAAAACAAAGTCTTTGCAGAGATGCTGTAAAGAGAAATCAGTAACCTATAAAATAAATTAAATGGTGCCTAAGAACTGCTGTGTACTACCAAAATAGCAGTAATAGCAATATAACTTGTCACTTTAAACCAATTTAATGCATCACTGATGAATAAAAGTATTAATTTGCTTTATAATATATGATATTTGCATGGTAGTACAAGGTACTTCACAGAATACCACAGTATTTACAAAGCAAATGTCCAAGAAAAATTGTACAGTATTAACATAGTAAATTTTTTACATGTACTATAGTAATACTATGGTATTTTCATATACACCATGATACTGCATGATCATATTCATACAACATGGAATTTACATTGTAGATCAAGGTACTTCAAAGTATACCATAGTATTTCCACAGCACATTTCCAAAAAAACAAGGTAATACCATGATACTTTTTGTGTGAACAGTGTATATAGTGAAAAGAGAATAAACATACCAAAAAAGTACCAAAACATGCCATGGTTCAAGCATTGTTTGGATGTGCACCACAATAGTACTATGGTATTCTTGGAAGTATACTGGAGTGCCACATAAATGCAATTCAGTACCATGGTATATATATCAATGCATCATTGTATTCAGTTACTTTTGTAAGGGTAAATGCATGCTGTGCTAGAAGGGTTGAGGATGTGTTTGCTGTGTGATACGCTTCAGACTGCAGCACCTGAGAATAAAAAAATCATCAAGAGCGCAACAGTGATGCTTCATTGATGGCTCCTTCCAGGGTTTGAACCTAAAAAGTACCAGCTTCAACCAGCAATGAAAAATGTACACCTTGCAACATGAACACCTTAAATCTGCTCCCAAACAAAAACCATGCACCAACAACCAGCCTTTTCAAATAAAGCAATCATAATGAAACAATTCTCTACAAACAACATAAAATTATTCAAACTTTATGCACATCATCAAAAAAAAAAAAACTTGGCAATTACCATGATAAAATTCACAAATGTCATGTTTTTGGACATATACCATGGTACTGAATGATTATATTTTATGTAGTCATAGAATACCATAGTATTGCAACAATAAATGACCAAAAACCTGAAATTACCACAGTACATTTCCAAACATCATGGTAATACCATGTTACTTTGTGTACATGCCAAATAATAATAATGCAACAACCCTCTACCACAGCTAACAAACTTTATGTACATCATCAACAAAAAGACCTGGTATTACTGTATTACAAATACCATGTCTTTGGACATGTACTATAGTAATATCATGGTATTTTGACATATCCCATAGCACTAAATGATTATATTTCATGTATTCAAAGAATAACAAAGTATTGCAATGATAAATGTCCAAAAACATGACATTACCAAAGTACAGGTCCAAAAAATATGGTAATACCACGTTACTTTAGCCCAAATAAAACAATGATTCAAACTTTAAGCAGTTGGATATTCATTAATTGCACACTCGACTGAAATAAAAAGCTGCAAACAGTTGGTGCACTTCTGTCACTTCAAAGCAATGGCAACAGAAAGAAAGAATGGTGTGAAACAGAGGGTCTCAATTACTCGGCGGTCCTCGGTCCTGCTCCGACCCAATTTACACTTTTGAGAAATAGGCTGCTTAAATAAAAGTTGTTAGGTTGTTAGAGCTGATGCAAGAAAAGTATGTTCATTAAAGGGTCGGGAAGAACATACTGTACAGACGACTAAAGGAACATAAAAGACGATGAGTTAGAGACAAACAGGAAACGGACAGACGTTATTGGACTCCTACCTGTCTGGCTGAGCTGCGAGGCGCTGCGGCTCTTTCGGCTCAACCCCACGACCGCTGCCATCTTGGCGCCGATACTGGAGCGCCGTTTCTTGTCAACGGTTCCCACCAGGCTCACGGCCGTGTCCGACTGGCTGCCGTCGGTCTTCTCCAGACTGCACATGTCCCCGCCGACGCTGGTGCTCTTGGTCATGTTGCCCCCGGCCGCCGTTCCCACTTGCCTGTTTTTCATTTTGGACGTAAATTCACTGTCAGTGGCGGCCCGTGGAGGAGAGACGTGAAGAGAGGAGGAGGAGCGGTGGAGGGGAAGAGTTGAGGGTGGATGGATTGATGATGGAGGAGAGAAAGGAGAGAGTTAGGAAAGTGGAGGGTGAAGGGGAGCGGAGATTCAGGTCAGAATAAGGTCAAAGGTTAAAGGGTTTAGGCCTCCAATCAGCTTAAGTTGCTTCACAGTAAAGTTTTGGGATGGGCCTGATGTTCTATGTGTTCCGTTTCAGTAGTCTAACAACAAGTAAACTGAGTAAAATATAGAACAGACTAACTGTCGCTAGTTCTCTCAATAGTGCTTACGCTCATGATGCAAACTTATCTTTGAAATCGAACATAAAGTGAAAAGAGGCTTGCAATGGCCTTGGATCTTAAAAGCCAAAGAGAACACCAAGAAAACAACAAAAAACTCACAAAAACAACTAGTTAAAAGCTAAAGAAATCACATCTGACATGGTCCACATACTATTATTCATACTACTTTCGCAGAATACTGCACACATATACTCCAAAAATTATATTGTCATGAGTATTTTTTATATTATTTTCCCAGTTGATATGGATATTGAATGAAATATTGAGAAACAACAATGCATAAGACTTGTTCTTAAAGATCTATCTGTATCTGCAGTGTTACTTCTAAAGCAAGTGTATTTTGTTTCAAGGATTTTATAATAGTATGCATAGTATGCAGTAAACAGTACACTACTTACTCTGACAATCAGGCCATCAAACTACCACATATGACTGACAATAAAAAAATGATAAACAGAAAATGGAGTGGTTTATAGAATACTACATTGAATATTTCAATTAAATAACTAATTATACAAAGGTTGTCACAAGTATGCTGCATAGGAAGCAATCTTGCTCCACAACAGTCTGACGATAGCATGTTGTTAACAAAGCAATATTTATGGAATAAGCAGTATTAAAAATACATAGTATGCAAAGGTATATAAAAAAAAATCCATGCTGAAAATACATTCATAGCTGCTTCCCTCATCATTGTGAATGTACCTGAGCTATCTAGCAGCTCACTGTGACTCATTTAAGAGTCACAACTCACACACTTCCCACAAACTGTTCTTAAAACAGCATAAAAACTTGCAGTAGTTCACCTATTTCATCCTAACTGATAGGAGCATCTCATGCATGAAGCATTTAGTGAATTTGATTTGTTAAGTTCACTCACTCAGCACTGAAATGCATGCTGCTCTATATTCCACACAGGCTGGTCTATTTTATTTTTCAGCAGGACAAAAAAAAAATGAGGGCACATGTAAAAAGATTAAATTAGCATCTCGCAAGTGATCATCTGTGAGCAAGCCGTGAAGCGAAAAGACAAATGACTTCCTAGACAAAGGATCCTAATGAAATATTAATGGTTATAAATGTGTTTAAATGACACACGTGCAGCCGTAGGTCTGCTCTTCTTCATCATCAATGCAATTACAGCCACAGAAACATGCGACAAATCGATGAGCTTCTTCAATTACTACAATTAGCCTTTTGAAAATACAGCCCTGTCCAACAACCCATTCTGCCAAGCCACATCAAGCTGTCTGTAATCTAGTAATCTTGGATCCTGTAATATTTGGGACCGATATATTTCATGAGAAAGAGTAGTATCTGTATAGATCATCACTACACTCTCTACAACAGTGAGCTGAGCTCCCATTTAACCCCTGCCAATACATTGAGAAATCACACCAAATAAATCACATATGAAATCTATTTCATATCTCAATTCTTTCTCGAAGAAAGCAATGAGATTAAATGGAGACTTCTGTTAAGTCTGCTTCTTCTCTTAGGCTACGTCCACACGAAGCCAGAGCTTTCCCTATCCGATCTTTTTTTTCCCCTCGTCTCAAGAAATATCTGCGTCCACACAAAACCACAAAACCACAAAACGATGTAGTATGCATGCCAGACCAGTATGTGGCGCTGTAATTCTGCTACAGAGATACACTAAAAACGGAGAAGAAGACTTGAACTATGCGCATAAACCTTGCCTGCGGTATATCATCGTTTCAGAAAATATAGGGATTCGCTGTCCACACGAAAACGCAAGGGCGGCGTTTTCAAATTTATCCACTCTGGGACCCGGTTTAAAAAAATATAGTTTTCACTCTCCCAAAACGCCGGATCCGTGTGGACGAAACGCCTATACGATACAAAATTTATGCATATACAGCTAAACGCATCTCCGTGTGGACGGGGCCTTAGACATTTTAAAAATGGAACTTCTTTTAATGTGATACAGCATCTTAAAAATTTGATGCTTACAGTATGAGATGCTGAAAAACAGTGATATGAACTGCAACAGTCAAAGATTTAGCGTCTAGCATGTGCTGGGGAAAGTTACTTTTAAAAGTAATGCATTACAATACTGCGTTACTCCATAAAATAGTAACTAATTGTCTTAGTTACTTTTCATGGAAAGTAGTGCATTACATTACTTTTGCATTACTTTCTATAAAATATTTATATTTCAATTTATTTCTATTTCAGTTTGTTTTAATTTAGTACTTAGATTTTATTTCAGTTATTTACCGATTCAACATTTCTCGTTTTGTTTACGTTTTTTATGAATTTTTTAATTAATGAAAAAAAAGAAAAAAGATTTGTTTTATGTTAACATTATTTTAGTAATAGATACATACTATTATAGCATGTATTAATATTTTTAATTAGCTGTTAGTTTTATATTTTCAGTTTTTATATTTAATTTATTTTAATTTAATTTACTTTTTATTTCAGTTTGTCTTAATTTTCGTACTTAAATGCATTTTATTTTAATTAGTTGCCAACATTTCTAATTTTCAAGTTCCTCATCATATATTTATAATTTCGGCTTTATTTCAATAGTAATAAAAAAAATAACAGTTTTAGTTACAAGTAACGACACTGGTGTTGTACATAGAAACAGAGCACAGACACAGAACAGCCCCTCAAAAATACTCTAAAATTATGATTTGTAGCATTCAAAAGTTTTAGGACTTGATTCATTACAAAATGCATGTACGAGCTACATCGACAAAGCTGCTACAAGGTCGCAATAGCAAACTATAGCCCAAAAATGGAATTTTGTAGAGTCAGTTTTCAGTTTGAGGTCAGCTGTTGTCATTGTGGAGCAATAAGTATAGAGTGGAATCAAATGTGTATGTTTCTGGCCGATACGAGTCTCTGGGGAAAATCACAACCCAACACAACAGTCTGAGAGCTAATCACGGCTCTAAAGAGATACTGTTGCATTGACTGATTGATTGGACGGGATGCTGCCAGACACTACATTTCTCATGCAGACAGCTCCCTCCAGCAGCACCGCACGGGAGAGGTTGGCAGGCTCTCACATTCTCACGGAGAGAAGTGTTGCGCCGCCGCAGGGCTTCAGATGGCCATTACCTTCCTCTCATCACTGTAATGAGAACGGCTCATAGAGAGCTGTGACCGACACAAAACCCAGGTGGAGATCCTTCATGCTGCTGTGATGACAAGACACATCTGTCTCTCTGGATTATGTCTCACAATATGATTGACAGATTGGCAGGGAATTATCCATGCAAAAGATTGCAAACAAATTCAATAAGAACATTATGTGGTTATACTTCATGGTTTATATTGATAGACAAGGTCTAATCTGTAGTTTGAAAACCCGAGCACAGGTCAAAAACACCAAAGTCTGAGAAAGAGAATGTATCTCCTAACAGTAACTTATTAAAGGTGCACATCCATCTGGATATAAATGGTCAAGTCTTCTTGAACGATTATACTTCATAATAATTGCCTAGGCATTGCTCCAGACATGTTTCAGAAGTTCATTTTTATTAATTGCATAGAGAGTTTCTAGAAGCAAAAAAAACAAAAATTATATATATATACACAAATATATACAAATAATTTATAATATATAAAAATATAATGCAGAACATGCAAACATATAAAATTATTATTATTATTATTATTATTAACAATAATAATAATATTTTGGGGTCTTCAACAGTGTTATTTTAGTATCATTAACACACTATTATAGTATTAATATTTAGAATTAGATTTTATTTTATTCATTGTAAATTTCTTATTTTTGTAATTTATTTATGTAGTTAGTTTTAGAACAGTTTCAGGTCATTAAAATTTTTATATTTTGATTTACACTGAACAAAATTATAAAAGCAACACTTTTGTTTTTGCCCCCATTTTTCATGAGCTGAACTCAAAGATCTAAGACTTTTTCTATGTACACAAAAGGCCTATTTCTCTCAAATATTGTTCACAAATCTGTCTAAATCTGTGTTAGTGAGCACTTCTCCTTCGCCGAGATAATCCATCCACCTCACAGGTGTGGCATAATCAAGATGCTGATTAGACAGCATGATCATTGCACAGGTGTGCCTTAGGCTGGCCACAACAAAAGGTCACTCTAAAATGTGCAGTTTTATCACACAGCACAATGCCAAAGATGTCGCAAGTTTTGAGGGAGCGTGCAATTGGCATACTGACTGCAGGAATGTCCACCAGAGCTGTTGCCCATGAATTGAATGTTCATTTCTCTACCATAAGCCGTCTCCAAAGGCGTTTCAGAGAATTTGGCAGTACATCCAACCAGCCTCACAACCGCAGACCACGTGTAACCACACCAGCCCAGGACCTCCACATCCAGCATCTTCACCTCCAAGATCGTCTGAGACCAGCCACCCGGACAGCTGCTGCAACAATCGGTTTGCATAACCAAAGAATTTCTGCACAAACTGTCAGAAACCGTCTCAGGGAAGCTCATCTGCATGCTCGTCGTCCTCATCGGGGTCTCGACCTGACTGCAGTTCGTCGTCGTAACCGACTTGCCATATGCGTCTTAAGCAAGACGCAGTACGAGTGAAGTATCGAAAGGGAACTGCACATTTTAGAGTGGCCTTTTCTTGTGGCCAGCCTAAGGCACACCTGTGCAATTATCATGCTGTCTAATCAGCATCTTGAT